TAGTCAATCGATTTTAAAATGGTGTTAATCAATTTTGAAAAAAGTGTTCAAAGAACGATTATAACCAAGTGATTAACAAACAAAAAGAGTAAATTGATTGATTGATTGATTGATTTGATCAATTATTTAGTTGATCAATTTTTAACACTTGTTTAGCCAAACCAAGAACAAATTTTTTTTTCTTTTCTTTTTGAAACAACAACAAGTGAAATATCAAGGGTCAATCATTTTTGGTTTTTCTGGATCATTTTGTTTCACTTTTGATACTTTATCGACACATATTTTGCTCATTTTTTCAGTTTTTTTATTTTAATTCAATCAAAACGAAACGAAACGAAAATCATTCGATCGGAAAAATTGTTTGTTCGAGGTGTACATGTTTGGCTTGTACTTTTTTTCAAAACTTCTTGGCCATTGATGATCAACAACAACAAAAAAGCCGAAAACAAGAAAAAAAAGAAGCCGACTCGTGACTTGTTGCCAAGAAAAAAAAAATTATTTTGCCTGGACCAAAAGATTACTCAGTTAGTTATGTTTTGAAAAGAAAAGAAAAGAAAAAAGGTGCGAGCCGTTTGTGTGCCGAACATAATTAAAACTCAAGAGAGAGTGAGAGAGAGAGAGGTGTGAATTGATCAAAATAATGGAGGGGGAGAATTTTAGACAAAACAAGGTCCAAATGATTTTCTTCTTCTTTAGATCAAAAGTGTCGGCGGTAAAGCTTTCAAGAAAAAATCTCCTGGAAATAGAGCGGGGTGGAAATAGACCCCAAAAATAGCGGATCTTTTCCTTTTTCAATCAACTAACTAGCTAGCTAGGTTTACCTTGCTTTTGATCCAACGTATCATTTCTCTCTCTCTTTTTGATGATGATGATCATCATCACTTGTTGAGAATGAAAACTCAAGGATGTACCCTATGTATTTAATAGGTGTTAATATTATTAACACCATCACCACCACCACCACCAGCAACAACCATTCAAAAAACATGCCGCCACCGACACCGATTGCCTTAACACACACACACTGAACAACAACAGCAAAAATGAATTATCAAGTCGGCAAATAATCAAAGTAAAACGAAAAAATCGGTTTTTTTACCTGTAAAAAACAAATTCATAATGGTCAGCCAGACAAAAGATTCTTGGGATTTTTTTTTGGAAGGTTCTTACATTTCATTCATTAAATGATAATAACTAACTAACTGACTGACTAGGTAGAAATAGAAAAAAAAGGTAATTATTATATAATATATGTGTGATACCTGCGCAAATTGATTCATCCGATTCTTCTTTTTTGATGATGTTTCTACCAAAAAAAAACGAAGAAAATTGTCGGCAAATTTCTCTCTGAAAAAAACGAACATTAACTAATGACCACCACCACCATTATTACCATATAAGAAACGAAAAAAACAGGTAACTTTCAGGTAAAGTTTCCTTCATCTTTTTACGATTACCGCGCCCAGGTACGTATACCATGTGTGTGCGTGTGTGTTAAACTCCTGAATATTTTTTTCTGGTAATAGTGGTGGTGGTGGTGAAAAAAGAAGCCGACCACAGGTAATAAACATCACTTTTTTCGTAAAGATTCGGCATTTGTGTGATGTGTGTCGATTGAATTCGATTCGATTTTTTCATTCATAAAAATCAAAATTTTCTGCTACAAATCTTTACTCGATCAAAAAAAATGAATATTGTCGGCATCTTTGTATCTCAAGAACAATAATAATGATGATCATCATTAGAAAGATCAAAAAGAAAGAGATTTTTGATAAAAAGTTTCCATTCAAACAAAACAAATCATTTTTAATGGCTATAATTAAGCTTAGCGAGGTTAAAATAGTCTTTTTGTTTCGTTTCGTTTTTTTTTGTAAATCAATTTTTGATTATTTCCATTGTTTTTGACGTTGATTTTATTACCTTTTTTTCTCTCGCTTGCTTGCGCACTTATGTCAATCACAAGTGTGATTTGGGCGTCATTTTTTTCCATTAGTTTGGCATTTGCTGATCACAAATCAATCAAATCAATTGATTGATTGATTGATGCGCTGACAGAACACCGAACAAAATGTTCATTCATTCAGAAAAACTGAATGTTTACTTCGTCAAATCCACTACCATTATCATTATTAATTTGATTTGAAATTTTATGCAAATTTCCAAAGGTTATGTTTACCTCACACACACTCACTTCTCATATTGACATATAGTAAGGATTGGTTTCAATCAAAAGCAGCAGCAGCAGTAAAAAACACAAATAAATAATGTTTTGACTTGCAAGTCAAAATGATTATCATTTTGTTGTTGTTGTTTCCGCCGTTTTTTTCTGTTTTGTTTTGTTTTTTTTCTGGATTCGGGTGTCAATAACATAAGACTATGAATACTTGACTGAATTCACACACACGAAAATTTGGTAGTGAAATGTGTCGAAATAGTCATCAAAAATCCTAAACAAAACATGTTTTTTTTAATGGACACGGGATGAGAGAGTAGAAGAAAACTGATTCCATGTCCAACACATTTACACAGATGTCTTATAAGACACAAAACGAAAAATTGCATAAATTATCCAAACATCCCCATCATCATCATTTAGTGTTAAATTAGATTCTCCGGAAAAGTTTGGATCTTCTTCTTCTGTTTTCTGTTTTCTGTCTGTCTGATTTTCTTTCTTTCTGGTTGTTTGGAATAAAATTGTAATTCATTTTGTATGCCTAACACACACGCACACACAGCAAATTAAGTGGATATTTTTTTTCTACTCTAGGGTTATTTTTTGGTTTGTCAACAACGATTGATTATCGTTGTTGTTGTTGCTGTTGTCATCAGTTAAATTGAAAAAAAAAATGGTAATAAATTTTACCAACTTGATTTTTTTTTGGATTTAACACCGGCCTATCATCATCATAAAAAAACGGAAAGCCCAAAGATCATATGGAAATCTTTTTTGCATTAACACTTAATGAGATAGAAGGAGAACTTAATGTGTGCGTGTGATTAAATTCCTTTCGACAATCGAATAAAGATTTATTGTTTTTTCTTTGATAGTCGTCATCATCATCCTATATTTTTCTCTGCTACTTTACTTTATTATGATAATGGTGGTGAAGTAAGCAAGCAAGCAAGGATGTGTGCGTGTAATGAGATTCTTGAAAAACGAAAAAATATCGGTTTTCAACATTTCTGTGCTGTGTTGTTTTGGGTTGTTTTTGATGACACTTTTATTTGGTGTCGTTAAAACAGAAAAAAAGCTTAAATGATTTTCATTTTACTGACTGAACGTTTGTATCTTTGTTTTGACATTTTTTTTTCATTTTCAAAAGTTCATCATCCATCCACTATATCGAAAGAATGCCGGCATAAATTATTATTGTTACTGTTACTGCTTTTTCTGGTTCTGTTTATTTGGTAATTATTGTTGAAGCTTTTTTGGAAGTTAAAATAGAAAAATTGTTAAAATAGTCATTCTCAGCCAGTCAGACAGACANGACACGGGGAGAGAGAGAAAAGAAAACTGATTCCATGTCCAACACATTTACACACACACACACACAGATGTCTTATAAGACAGAACGAAACGAAAAATTGCATAAATTATCCAAACATCCCCATCCCCATCATCATCATTTAGTGTTAAATTAGATTCTCCGGAAAAGTTTGGATCTTCTTCTTCTGTTTTCTGTCTGATTTTCTTTCTGTTTCTGGTTGTTGTTTGGAATAAAATTGTAATTCATTTTGTATGCCTAACACACACACACACACAGCAAATTAAATGGATATTTTTTCCACTCTAGGGTTATTTTTTGGTTTGTCAACAACAACAACAACCAGCAAAATAACCAGATTGATTATTGTTGTTGCTGTTGTCATCAGCTAAATTGAAAAAATTGGCAATAAATTTTACCAACTTGATTTTTTTGGATTTAACACCGGCCTATCATCATAAAAAAACGGAAAGCCAAAGATCATATGGAAAAATCTTTTTTTGCATTTCTTAACACTTAATGAGATAGTGGGAGAGAGAGAACTTAATGTGTGTGATTGAAATTCCTTTCGACAATCGAATAAAGATTTATTGTTTTTTGCTGTTTGGTAGTCGTCATCATCATCCTATATGATATTTTTCTCTGCTACTTTACTTTACTTTATTATGATAATGGTGGTGCAGTAAGCAAGCAAGGAAGGATGGATGCGTGTAATGAGATTCTTGAAAAACGAAAAAATATCGGTTTTCAACATTTCTCTCTTGTTTTGGGTTGTTTTTGATGACACTTTTATTTGGTGTCGTTAAAGCAAAAAGCTTAAATGATTTTTCATTTTATTGACTGAACGTTTGTATCTTTGTTTTGACATTTTCATTTTCATTTTCAAAAGTTCATCATCCATCCACTACATATCGAAAGAATGCCGGCATAAATTATTATTGTTACTGCAGTACTGTTTTTTCTGGTTCTGTTTATTTGGTAATTATTGTTGAAGCTTTTTTGGAAGTTAAAATAGAAAAATTGTTAAAATAGTCATTCTCAGCCAGTCAGACAGACACATAATGTTTGCATATATATGGATCACAAACAAAAAAAAAAAGATTTAACACTATCATACACTATTAGGAACCCAATAAGCGTATAATGAGCAATAATTAAAACATTTTAGTGAAAAGAAAAACTTAATTTACGAAAAAAATGATCAACAAGAAATAAGAAACCAAATGAGCTGTTTGTTTGAATGTAAAAACAAAAAAAAACTCATACAGAGAGCCAGCCAAAGTTACAAAGGAGAAGAAAAAACTCATAAATAAGATGATGATCTAATTTATGACCATTTTTTCCTAATAATATCCTACAACTTTGAAAAAAAAGTAGCTGGGTTTTTTTGCAAGCCGGATTTTTCTCTTCTTTCTTTCTCCGGATTGATTCCAGAAAAAAAGTGTTTATTTATGAGTCAGTTTTTTTTCAAGTCAGTCAAGGGAAAACATAGAAAACAAGAAAAAAGAAACATACCAGAAGATTTATCATTATTATCATTTCTATCGAATGCTTTACTTGTCATTTCAAATAATGCATCTAATGGTGATGATCCGGTGTTATTTTGGTTATTTTTATTATTTTGATTTTTTGAACCAGAATTATTTGTTGTTAAACTTTCCGAATTGGAATCACTTTCAGATCTTTCATCTGATAAACAATCATCATCATCATCTAAATCATCATCCAAATCATCATAATCATCATCATCAGCTGATCTAGGTCGACGATTTGTTTTAATTAAATTATTATTTCGATGATTATTATATGAATGATGATGATGGTTAAATTGATGATTAAATAGATGTTGATGGTTAAATTGAGGGTTAAATGAATGATTATGATTATTAACGATCGATGATGATGATGATGGTGATGATGATGATGTTGTTGTTGTCGCTGTTGTTACATTTGCGGCGGCAGCTGCGGCAGCGGCCGCAGCCGCTGCTGCGGATAACGCACCATGATATGAATTATGTGCAAATAATGCTAATGGATTTGGATGTAATTGGCCAACAGCGCCACCGCCACCATTAACAGAATTTAATGCAGCATTATATTGTATACTTTGTATAAATGTTGATGCCATATTTAATTGTTGTAGATAATTTGCAGTAGGGTTTAATGTCGCTGATGTTGCCGATGTTGTTGATGTTGATGATGATGATGAATTATCCATAAGAACAACATTATCCCATGGCCTAATGAAATTCTTTGATGATGGTTGTTGCGGGGAACGTGTTAATTTATTGCCACTATTTTGATTATCAAAGAATTTATTATCATCATCGCTTGGTGAAAGAATATCTTTAATTAAAAATGATCGTATTGGTTTGCACTTTTCGGTGGTAAATGTTATATCATCATTATCGATTGATTGTCGTTCGATTCGATTCGATTCTTTATTCTTCGATGGTCGTTGCGATTGATGATGATCATATTCAATTTTCAGACGATTATAATCATTACAAAGACGTTTATTTGGACTTGGCATCATTTTATCATTGAAAATTGTCGTCGTCGTCGATGATGAAGAATTCAATGTTTCAATTTTATCATCACAACCAGGATCGATTATTGTTGATGATAATGTTGATGATGCTGCGGATGATGTTGTTGATGAAATTGATGATGCAGATGAACTACGACTAGTTGAACGTTCATGTTCCATTGTTGCGTTTGACGGAAACGTTGTTGCGGTTAATGCGGTTGTTGCCATTTGATGCGAATGATGAAATAAATTTTTTAAATGTTGTTTACGATTACGAATAATAATTAATTCTTGTGATTCATTAAAATCATTTGCCATTATCATTATTATTATTATTTTTAGTAATAGGGTTTTACAAGCACTTATTGAATTTACAAACAAAAAACCGAAAAATTCATTGAAAAAACCAAAAGTACAACCATGGAAAACACCAAAAAATACACCACGAATGATCAACAGAAGAGAAGAGAAACTAAAATGAAATGATCATATTATCATCGTTGTCGTATTAGACCAGATCAAAATCAAGTTTTACAACAACAAGATGATGATTAGGATGATAATAAAGATGATTTAGTTGAAATGATGATGATGATGATCATGATGAATATCGAGCGATATAAACAAGGCAACCGAAGCAGCAGCAGTCGAAATAGAAAAATTCATAAACAAGAGAATCAGATATATTCTCTCTCGCATTCGCTATTTCAAGTAAAAGGCCTGGCTTGATGATGATGATCTAATAGTGATCGTTGTTTGCTGAATGTTGTTCTAATTTTAATTAACACTCGGAGACAGAGACAGAGCAATTCACAATTCACAATTTTTCGATAATTTTATCATCATCGTTGATCGTTGATTGTTGTTGTTGTTGTTATATTTTTTTTCGAAGCTCTTTTTTTTCATCGCTTTTTTTGACAACTTAACTTGTTTTTTTTTCACTATGCGCACATTGTGTTAAACATACATACACACACACACCAATCAAATAAAACTTATGATAATAATAACAAGGAAGGAGGAGCTTACATTAACCAATCATATTGTAAATGTTATAAAAAATGGGCGGAGATTTGATGAATACATATTCGATGCATAGTATATATAGCACATCTGTCTGTCTGTCTGAGTGTAGTGTATTGTAATATTAACACTTTGGCTGCTTATGTTGTTCACTGTTGTTTATTTCAATTTAATTTGATTGGATTCACACATTTTTGTTTTTGTTGTTGTTGTTGTTGAATGATTTTTGATTGAATGACTTGACTTGATTTGACTCACAAAAAAAACCAGTATATTTCTTTTGTGTAAATTGGTCGGTCGGATAGTTTTTGGTGGTGTTGATGAAAAAAGTAGCAGACAATTTTTATTTTTCACAAAATAAGATTTAGATATATAGCCTGAAAAGATGTTATAATCATCATCGTTTTTAAAAGAGACAGATACAGTAACTCCAAAGAGAGACTGCGCAGTTTCATTTTGGCTTTATTATTGTTGTAATCAAGTATCCAAAAAAGATGCCTTAACCATTCGTGAAATGAATAGTGTGTGTGTGTGATTAATAAACTTGCGAATGAAAAAAACAACAACAAATTTTTTTTGTTTGCAATTATCAACAATCAACGAAGCAGAAGCAAATGCCAGAACTTCCAATTAACTTTTCATATAAACGATAATAATAATAAAAAAAAGGAAGATACACTACATTTGTGAATAGGAAAAATAATAATGAATAGAAAAACGCCATATGTTACAAATGGAAAAATAACACAGAGAGATAAAGATAGGAGATATAAATCGTGTTTCAGAAAAAACAATTATCTTTTTTTCTACATTTAAGCAAAGATAAATTCCTCTACAGTTGTTTTGTGAAGGCAAAGGCATCCGTAGTGGTGGTGGTGGTGGTAAATGATGATGATCATTAAATGATCATTTTGGACAATAATGATGTTGAGATGCGTATGATGATGATGATGATGATGATGGAAAAATTGAATGAAATTAATCGTCGTTCTAAAGTGAAGTAAATTAACGAAATAGAGAGAGAGAGAGAGGTGATAACATTCTTGCTTGCAAACTATTTAGTCACAAGTTATCGCTTTATTTTCAAAAAAAAAGAAAGAAAGTTTGATTTCTCTTCTTTTCTCATCTCAAAATCTTGATTCGATTCTCTCTCTTCTCTCCCACTCAATCCACTAACTACATATCGAGGAATCAAAAATAATTGATTTTTTTGATTTTTGATTTTTGATTTTTGCTTTGCATTGTCTGCATGTGTGTATCATGCCTATATTTTATAGATTGGTTGATGTTGGTGACGATTGCTTAATGATAATGAATAGTTGTTTTTTCTTTCGTTTGTTTTGTTTGTTTGTGAATACAATAGCCTGTCATTGTTTCGTTTTTTGCTTTGCTTTGCTCGACATTTGCTTTGCTTTGCTTTTCTGCTGAATAATTGAATTCAGAATGGTTTTTGCTATTTCAAATTTCAATGTAATTCAATTGATGATGATGATTAGGTCATGGAAAATGAATGAATGAATTGAAATTATTATTAATTTTTCATCACCACCATTATTGATAATCCAAATGTATTAAAAAAGGCCAATACAATTAAGCAGAAATATTTGTTGATTTGTGTATCGAATCAAATCAAATCATTAGATATCGAACGAGAGAGAAAATCAAATCAAATCCTATATAGTAATCATTGGTTAATAAAAATATTGCATTCCATTTTTTTTCGGTAATTTGAATTTGATTATATATACACACACACACACAAGGGTTAACACCAATGAAATTCATATTTTCTTTTTATTATGATGATGATCTCATTTCAATTCATTTCATCATCATAATGATGATGATGATGATAACATTTTTATTGAGCGAAAAAAAAACTTTGAAAAACTGTGGAAAATGTTTATCAATCTAATCCACTTTACTTTGGCTTTTCTTGCTGCTTCTTGCTTCTCAGAATGACATTTAAAAAAAAAATCCGTAATAAAAAATGACAATAAAACTTTGAAGAAAAGCGTTTCCGATTGATGATGATGATTATGATTATGGTGGATGACAATGAGAGGAGGAGAGAAGAAAAAATTTCGCATTTTTCACACAAACTTTGTTCATTCAAAAACTCCAGAATATGATTCCATTAAGTAATTAAGCTTCCATTAATGAACAACAATGAAAGAAAAAACTTTAAAGAATAATAATGCATCATCATTATCAGAATGAATTCTTTTCATCTTTTCATTTCTTTTCAAGATCAAATTGTCATTTTCAGTTTATAAAAATAGATCATTTTTTTCGCTGGCATGGTTGCCAAATTGATGATGATTGTTACATTGTTGAATTTCTCTTCTCCATTCTTGTTTCTTCCAAAAAATCAATTTGATACAATCTTTGAATTTGAATTGTTTCTTTTGGTTGGTCGATTGGTTGGTGTGATGGTGTGATGGTCATGCCTTTTGCTCACACCTCTCTCTCTCTCTCTTTCTCACCTGGACCTTTACAAAAATGACAATACAGTAACTTTATTTAGAAACTTTAACTTTATAATCCACATTTCACATCATCATAATTCAATTTGAAACAATCAAAAAAAATCAAATTTGTTTCACCATGTCCCCAATGCGAGAAGAGAGAGAGAGAGGTTAAAATGGTTTTTCGAAATTTGTTGCGGTCATCATCACCATCATGTATTGTGTGTTTGGTTTGCTTCAAATTGGGACAATTGTTGTTTTGTGACCAGAATGAAAGAAGCAAATTTATCCAATTGAATGTCAATCGATTGATTAGATCGATGATCTGATTTGATGATTAGTCCTGGTGGTGGTTGTTGTTGTTGTTGTTTTTCAAGAACAACAACAACAAGGAACCAATCAATTGAACGACAAAAAAGTCTTTCTTCATTCAAAAAATAGCAAGGTAAAACGGTTTTTTTTGTTGTATTTTCTTAATGAAGTTGTTCGATACATCGATCAATCGATTGATCGATTATCGCCTGCCTGATTTTTCTCCCGGCACTATTTATAGCTTTTTTCACACTTTTGGCCAATTAAAAAAAATTGAATGGCAAAAATCGAACTACAAAATCGGTTTTTCGGGAATCAAACGAATCGAAGTGAGTAAATTAATAACTACCTTTTTCATTTCGTTTCGCTGTGTGTGTGTGTTGTAATGGCGAAACGAATTGAACGTTTTTTATTCCGAAGGAAAAATCGAAAAAATCAATCGAATCAATTCAAATCGAATCGAATGAGAAAAGGAAGGAAGGCACCAGAGTGAGAAAACAAAAAACAAAAAAAAAAAGTTGTTGTCAAAAAAGCTTGATCTGAATCCGATGAGAATGATCGATATTCAAGTGTGTGTGTGTTTCGGTTAAATCAATTCTGATAAATGATTTTTACGTTGTGTAAAGTTTTTTTTAAATGAAAGAAAACGAAAAACACCTTTTGAACGTCAAGAGAAAAACTGTAGAGAGTTTTTTCTCTCCTGGCTAATTAATACCTGTAAAAGGTGATTGATTTGATAGCCAAAAAAGAAAGAAAAACCGAGTGAAAAAATGATTGATTTTTTTTTCTGCTGTTGCTGCTGCTCATTTGGTTCACAAAAGGCATCAAGCGTTCATCATTAATAATGATTTTCTCTTGTTTTTTGCTGACCCATTCAACCAATACTGTGGTCATACACACAATTTATTCACCCCACACACACCGACACTGCTTGCTGCAATTGCACTCCAATTGATTATCCCATTGATTGATTGATTGATTATTTGGAAATCAGCTAAATAAACTAAACAGCTAAACTAGCTAATTAAAGTAATTATCCCCTTCTTCTCTTTTGAAGCCTTGAAGCTAAACGGTTGTTTCGTCTTCCACCACTATTTATACCTAAAACGGATTTTTTAAAAATGGTAAAAATTAAGACATCTTCCTTGGAAAATCTTTCTGTTCTCGGCATTATTATTGTCGTTGCTGACGATGATGGTGACAAGCGTGTTAAATATAGTTTAGGTTTTTGTTTTTTTTGGTCTAAAATCATCATCATCATCATTGGCCCTTGAAGGCGCCTTTTTGTCGTCATTGTTTGTTTGTTTGATTGTCGTCTATTTCCACCATATCAATACCATTTTTTTTTTGATTTATTTTAGAAAATTTCTATTATCATCATCATCATCATCATCATCAGAATCATTTAGATATGCATCGCACATTCAAATACACAATGACATTCTTTTCATCATTATTTTTTTTTGATTTTGAAACACAAAGTACACACTTGAACAAAAAACAAGCATAAACGATGACGACGATCATCATCAAAATTCAAAAAAACCATGACCAATTTCTCTCTTTCTCTCTAGGTCTAGAACCGCCGGATAG